TATATGTATATGTATATGTATATGTATATGTATATGTATATGTATATGTATATGTATATGTATATGTATATGTATATGTATATGTATATGTATATGTATATGTATATGTATATGTATATGTATATGTATATGTATTAATTTAAGAAAGCTGTTTTCATAAATTGAGAAAATTATTTCTCAAGAAAAATTACTTCTTGTTTTAAGATAACTGTTTTCTTAAGGTGAGAATATTATTTCTTAAAAAAAAATTCTTGATTTAAGATAACCGTTTCCTTAAATAACCATTTTTAATTAATAGGAATATAATAATGAATGTCTCTAATTGTACAGTACCTTGTGCGATCTGTGTAGCTAGAGGGGACGATATTGTAACAAAATTTAGCTTTTTCGAACCATAATGTGTTGGGGTTTGCCGTCCTTTGCAAGCAGCCAGCTTGTTGGCAAAACACTGATTTATAATATCGTCCGAAGTGAAACCGCGCCATAACAATACCCCAGTTTCTCTGTATTGAGCGTATACTAGATCGTCGGGATTAAGGGCTGCTGCTGTACCAAATTGGGTTGCTTCTTCGCCAAAATTTGTTATGTAAAATGAAATTTTACCCTATAAAATCAGTATAATTAAAATATGCATTAAACCAAAATACTATACTATATATTTTTTAGGTTATTTAGTAAGGATTTGATCATTCAGGTGAAACTAAATATGAGGAAAAGCCTTCGGTCGCTGTAGTCTATATATGATCGCTAAATGCTGTGCTAATTGTAAATGAGCATAGCATTCGAATTCTTTTTGTTCTATTTATCGCGAAATAGATACATATATAGATAGATATATAGATAGATCTTTAATAGGCTTCTCCCCCAAGGGTTTTTCAGCATGGGCGTACGGGAAGGACAAAATTAGGGGGGCGGAAAGAAATTTGCCCAACTTTTTCGGATTGTACCCAAGTTGTTAAAAAAACTTTTCCGGAGAAACTTTCCAAAATTGTTGTTGATTGAGGGGGGGGGGGGGGGGATTACGAAAAATTCCTATTAGATAGCATATTTCCCACAAATTTGACAGAATTTCCCACAAAATTGACAAAATTTGTCCCATTTATTTTATAATAAGCCAACAAACTGGGGGGCTGCCGCCGCTCCCCCCCCCACCCCCTCCGCCTGGTACGCGCATGTTTTTCAAAACTTATTTACAATGGCAATATTACTATATATTCAGTTGTTTACATGTAGCCGAGATATCAAGAATTCTATTAAATATCAGAACATTATAATGGCGACGAACATAAACGTATTCTATTCAACGAAACGATGGTGGAAGAGCAGGCCGAGCCTCAACCACTGCAGCAATCGGCTGTACAGATCATGCAATCTGTAACAACAACTCCAATGCCAGAATTTTGCCCAGATGCAAAAATCGGAACAAGCCTTTCGACAAGATAGAACAATTGGCAGTCCGACTTTGAAAGGTATATAACCGCAAGTGGAATAACGGATTCAAAGCGAAAACGTGCACTCTTGCTATATCAAGCTGAACCGAGTGTTCGCGAGATTTTTAAACAAATCCCCGAGACAGGAACTGAACAAAAACAAACGGGACCACCGAGATACTCAAACAAAAAGCATGCACAAAGACATTTAAAAATATTAGATACAGGATCAAACTCGAGTTCCGATGAAGACTATTTATATACCATGACAAATACAAAGCACGATAACAAGGTCAATGTTACAGTAGGCGGTGCCAAATTTCAAGGCATGTGCTAAAACCTGGACGATGGACTGGACGATGGACGATGGACGATCGACGCTGCATGATGGACGATGGACGTCCATCGTCCAGGTTTTAGCACATGAAATACTATCAAAATGATGAGAAAAGTGAGATGAATATACTGGTATACCAATATTATATCAAACGTACTGCATTTTTAATCAGTTTTTAAAATAATTTTGAGCGATTTGTCAACAGTACAATTTCGCTAATTAAAACTGCACTTAAAAACCTTCAAAATAAACTAGTTTGGGCTCAAAATACTATCAAAATGACGAGAAAAATTAGTCGTATCGACTGGTATACGGCTGAAAACGAGAAAACCAACGATACCAAAGACCAAAGTTACCAAGAATCGAACGTACTGCATTTTTAATTAGTTTAATAATTTTGAGCGATTTGTCAATGCAATCACGCTTGACTTCCAAAGGCCATAAATCGCTAGAATTCTGTTGTTTAGTAATACAGTTGACAGTCGATCATGAGAGTACAAGATAAATTAATTTTTCTGCAAGAATGAATAAATTTCGAGCACGTGCAAGGAATTTTACTAGGCGATTAAGAAAACGTTTGATGCGAACAAACTAACAAACGGACAAACTCACAGGCAGAATATACCGCACAGGCAGAATATTCCGCTCCTGTACTTTGTTGTCATTTATTGTATATGTCGCTGTGTATTAATACTTGTAACAAACAATGGCTTTTGTATAAAGTAGCGTTGGATTTGTGGCAAGATGATGCACTAATCATATACATGAAAAAGCGCAAAAATAGGCAACATTCTTTCTCGTATGCGTGGAAATGCAGAAAATATCGAATGTAGAACAATAGATTTACGATAATCAACAGGCCGCGTCGAGAATTGTAACATTGATTAAAATGTTGTAAATTTGTATAATTTCTATTTAATGAACTGTCAATCAAATTTCAGTAAGTAAATAAGGTCATCAAATTTATAGTATAGTGACAGGCCTTAAAATATCGGACGGAGTGTTTGTCCGACCCAGGTGTATTGGTGTCCAACGTAAATCAATCCGCAGTAAGGCTCGTATGGTAAATGGAAAATAAAGGACAATTGAGTATTGTATAAAAAGTAAACTGCATGGAAATGTTTTTAACGTAGGCTGATCGAGCGCGGGGCGGCGACGTGCTAGCGAAATGGTGAAGTGGAAAACGGGCTTAAGTTGTCGAAGTCTTACTGCTGTTCTTGCAAGCAAGTTAATTTTGGCTTGGAAATAAGTATGAATGACACAAATTATTTAATATCTTCACAACATTTACCGTTTAGAATTAATACATTGTGCTGATATTAATTTGTGTCATTCAGACTTTAATTTCCGAGTCAAACTGAACTGAAGGTCATCGGACATATGTCCGACCCAAACTCAACGTCATCGGACATTTTGTCAGACGTCCCTGTAAAACTGGATATTTTATGGCCTGGTATAGTGACAAAGTGATAGCCGAAGACTGAATTTGTTGAAACGGCTGTAGCTAAATAAAAATCGTCCATTGTCCAGGTTTTAGCACAAATGCTAAAACCTGGACAATGGACGTCCATCGTCCAGCGTCCATCGTCCAGCGTCCATCGTCCAGGTTTTAGCACATGCCAAATTTCAAACAACAATTGACAGTGGCGCGACAATAAATGTGATCGATCGTGACACTTTTAACGAAATGCAAGACATAAAATTAACTTGCACGAACACGAAAGCTTTCGCGTATAATACGAAATCACCAGTTGAATTTTTGGGAAAATTCGAAGCGGTAATCGAATTACAACACGAAAACGAATATCTGTAGGCACATTCTATGTCGCCAAAGCTGCGAACTGTGGAAACTTACTTTCTCTTTCTACTGCACAAGAACTCGGACTTATTAGTTTGCATCTAGACAAACTGACATCAAAGGATGCCGCACTAGAAAACATTCTTCAAAAGCATTCTAAAGTTTTTTCCGATCTTGGAAAACTGAAGGGAGAAAAAATCAAACTAGATATAGACAAAACTAAAATTCCGAAAGCACAACCCCAAAGGCGCAAACCCTATCACATTCGAGAAAAAGTGAAAAACGCGATAACTGAATTAGAAAATCAAGATGTCATTGAAAAAGTGCCCGAAAATGAAGCTACTCCTTGGGTTTCACCCATTGTAGCTGTTCCCAAAAAAGATGGACAGGTTCGCATATGTGTCGACATGCGGCTCGCAAATGAAGCTATAAGACGAGTACGCCATCCTATACCAACAGTAAATGATGTTAATTTTGCCCTGAATGGAGCAAAATTTTTCTCGAAACTTGATTTGAGCCAAGCGTATCATCAGTTAGAACTGAATGAACGGTCTCGATATATAACAACCTTTAGCACTCAAGTAGGTTTGTATCGCTACAAAAGACTAAACTATGGTACAAACGCTGCAGCGGAGATATTTCAGTACACACTTCAAACTGCACTGCAAGGGCTTAAAAGGCGTCAAGAACATAGCTGATGATATCATTGTATTCGGCTCAACAAGAACTGAACATGACGCTAATCTTGACAAATGTCTATGAAAAGCCATAGTGGACAAAAGTAGTCGAGAAATTTTTTTCTGGTCGAGAATATTTTTATACAGTCGAGAATATTTTTATACAGTCGAGAATATTTTTATACAGTCGAGAATATTTTTATACAGTCGAGATTATTTTTTTACCGTCGAGAACTTTTTTTACAGTCGAGATTATTTTTTGCAGTCGAGAATTTTTTTACAGTCGAGAATATTTTTATACAGTCGAAATTATATTTTACCGTCGAGAACTTTTTTTACAGTCGAGATTATTTTTTGCAGTCGAGAATTTTTTTACAGCCGAGATTATTTTTTGCAGTCGAGAATTTTTTTTTATAGTCGAGAATATTTTTACACTCGCGAATATTTTTTGCAGTCGAGAATATTTACGCTCCAAATTTTTTCCGCGTTTTAGTGTCGAATCTGACAGGGCAACATGGCGTCGGGAAAAGGCGATTCTAGTCAATCTCGTGCAAAAGAGATTCTTTCGCAAATATTTAGCCGCATTGGGGAGTTGTCCGATGCCTTGGCGGGTCCTGATGGATCTTCCAATAATTCTAGCAGTGTTGGGACAAGCGACACGGTGGAGAGTGAGGTTAGGAAGGTATTTGGACAACAACATTCATCGACAACATTGTCATCAAGCGTGGGAACAAACCACACAAGTATTAGTACAACACAGGGTACAACCCAAGCTTCCGTTTCAGTTTCACCTTCTCCACAGCTATTCCAGGAGCCAAATCCTTCGTATAACACTAGAAGATACTTCGGTAACCAACGATCAGCAATGAAATCAAATCGTTGGAGAAAAGGAAAGGACCCAAAAACAAAAATTAAGTACTGGGCCGTTCTTACGTGACAGAATCAGAATCAGAATCAGAATCACATTTATTTCACACGTATTTAAACTAAGTAAGAATAACATACAGAAAATTTATATAGTTACAAAAATCAAAGCCCACATATTAAAACTGCTATATTAAACAAACGTGTACAGTGATCAAAATAGCGGAATGCTTTCGAGTTGATCACTGTATATATGTATCATATTATTATATAAAAGTATATGACGGCGACATAACAGAACTGTGTAGGTATTTATATTTGGAAATAAATAAGGAATTGACTATACCTATTCTTAAAAACAGAAACTGAATTTGACTCTTTTATATGGTAAGGAATTGTCTCCCAAATTTTTGATGAAACAAATCTGAAAGTAAAAATTCCATAATTTGTTCGAGCATTCGACCTAATAAAATTTTGTTTTTCAGCAAATCTAGTAGAATAAGAGTGCTGAGTAGATGCAGTAGAAATGATATTTGTAAATATCCTAGGGATATTTTTATCTTCGTTTATAATTTTGTATGTAAATGTGGCTATTTTCAATTTAAAAGCGTTGTCTAGCTTTAGTATGGAAAGTAAATTCATGTATAATGTTGCACTTTCTTTTTTGGATGCAAAAAACATATTCTTTATACATTTATTTTGACATGTTCGTACTTTATTAAGCTTTGTTGCATAGGTGTTACCCCAACTCATCAGTCCATAATTAATGTATGGGTAAATTAGAGTGTAATATAAATGTTTAAGCATTTTCAAATCTAGGTAATATCTGAGTTTATTCATTATTCCAGTGTTTTTAGCAATTTTACTATTTACGTGTTTGATCTGATACTCCCAATTTAGATTATTATCAATATATATACCAAGATATTTAATAAAGTCTCTTTTAACAATGTTTTTAATCCGTATATTTCTAGCTTTCTTTTTTGAGTTAGTGATAACCATAAAATTTGTCTTTTCCAAATTAATTGAAAGCTTATTTGTAGCACAGTAACGAAATATTTTTTTCAATTTCTATATTCATAACGTTTTCAACTTCTTCAATATTTGTGTTTGAATAAAATACATTTGTGTCGTCTGCGAATATTCGGAATGAAAGTTTGCTACTACAATTAGGCATGTCATTTATATAAATTAAGAATAATAATGGTTCGAGAGTTGAACCTTGAGGAACTCCACAAGTCATTGTAAGCATTTCTGAATCACAATTACCAATCCGTACATACTGTTTCCTATTCATTAAATAACTCTTAAACCAATCCAACTGGGTCCCACGTACTCCATATTTGTCAAGTTTAGATAAGAGAATTTGATGATTGACAGTATCAAAGGCTTTCGAGAAATCCAAGAATAATCCACACGTTATTTCTTTTTTATCAATTGTAGTTTTTAAGGTATCTGTAATTTCAAGTATCGCTTGTTCTGTCGAATAACCTTTTCTAAATCCAAATTGATATTCAAAGAGTATGCCATTTTTAACAAGAAATAATTCTAGTTGATTATAAATAATTCTTTCCAGTATTTTTGAAAAAGCTGACAAGACTGATATTGGTCGATAGTTACTTGGATTTGTAGTTGTACCAGATTTGTATATGGGTGTAACTCGTGAGATTTTTAGAATGTCTGGAACAATACCCGTAGTAATCGACTCATTATATATACTTGTAAACACGGGTGAGATTATTGGGGCTATCTTTTTTATCATTGCATTAGGAATATCAAAAGATGCTTTGGTACTGTCAAGTGTTAAAAACAGACTTAATACTTGAGTTTGTGTGATAGGTGACATGACAAAACTAGATACAGGAGAATTGCTAATGTAACTTGTTGGATTTTCATTAGTATTGGTTATTGTGTTAGCTAGGTTTGGACCTACATTAATAAAATGTTGATTGAACTGATTTGCTATATCATATTCCGAAGAGAACTCCGAACCATTATTAATTAGTCGTGATGGGTGATGTTGTCCTTTTTGTTTACGGCGTATGAGCGTACCTATAAGCTTCCAGGTATTTTTCAAACTATTTCTGTGTTTCTCAAATTGGGTGTAATAATAATCTTTTTTAAGTATATTCTTTAACTTATTTAGTTTATTAGAATACGATTTATACATTTTAATTTTTGCTTCATTATTACTATAGAAATGAGTGCGATACATTTTTTGTTTCGTTTTAATCGATTTTAAAATTCCAGAGGTGATCCATGGTTTATTAAGTTGTCTCAATTTACTCTGTGATGCCTCTTTTATCGGAGCATGTTTGTTTGTTACTTCATTTATAACGTTAATTACATCCTGTGTGGTTTTATTTAAATTAGTATTTAAATTACAAAATTTATCATTCCAATCGATTTGTCTCATATCATTTAAATATAACTCTGTATTAAAGTGCTCAAAATTTCTATAAAACTTTTTTTCTTTATTTCGTTTAATTGGAGTATTTATAATACAAAATATGGGTAGATGATCGGAGATATCAAATAATGCTATTCCCGATGTTATTTGAGGAGTAAGTGTATTGGTATAAATATGATCAATTAGCGTTTCTGTGTGATTTGTTATTCTTGTGGGTTTAGTAATAAGGGGAGTAGTATTGTTAGTATGCAACATATCTAAATATTTTTCAGTAGGTTGATGGTTCAAGTATTGAAGGAAATCAATATTTATATCTCCCAATATATAAAATTGATATTTGTGTTGATTTAATTGCTTAAGCAGTTCATTCAGTTGCTCTGTAAAAATTTCGATATTTGATTTTGGATGTCTATATACGCACCCTATAATGATGTTTTTTTTCTGATAACCAGGCTCAATTTCTACCCAGCATGATTCGACAAGATCCATAGAAAACTTAATGTCTGGTCTTTCAATAACTTTTAAACTATTGCAAACATAAATACCAGCTCCACCTGCCGCAGTCATCGAGTCAACATGATAGAATTTATAGCCTGATATATCAATATTTGTAACAGTATTATTATTTAATTTAGTTTCAGTAATTGCTACAATATCTGGTTTTTTCGAAAGCGAATACATCATGTCATTTAACAAATTTAAATTCTTTGGAAGACTTCTTATATTACAATGAAGTAAAGAAAGCGATTTAGGACCTTTTATCTTAAGGATGCTATCAACTTTTTCACTCTGATAATAGTCAGAGCAAATATTATCTAGCATATGGTCCGGATCGCTTTCGTCTAATTTATCTGGATTTGGCAACAATTTATGTAAGTCAATATTAGAATCCACACACCTATAATCAATATTGAATAAAGAGTTAAATTCCTTATTATTTAAATTATAAAAAGGCAATTCAACTAATTCAGTGTATGCATGTAAATTACCTATAGACACACTAGTTTTTTCCATAGTTGACTTAGAAGGCATAATTAGAATTTATTTGCATGCGAACAACCGCAAGCATGATATGCATGAGAGCACACATTGTTATTAAAAAGATTCGTTCAAGAAAGCATCGAAGTCCCTGGCATGTACAAAACTAAAAACACGAGAAGCATCCTCTTCCCGTAACATAATTTTTCCATTTATAGTCCAGATATGCTTCCATCTCTCTGATCGCTTGAACTCATTTACACGTCCAAACAGTTTTCGCCTACGTGCAGTTAGTGATTCGTTTACATAAATATTATTAAATTCACGATTGTTATTTTCGTACTCACGCTTAACCAGTGGCAAATCATTTGACTTCTTGCCAACCAATTTACTTCGTTTTTTATAGAACAAGTCTTTAGTATCCCGATGCACAAACTTAACAATAAGCTTGTCCTTTACCTTACGAGTTGGGGGAAGGCGGTGTGCGGTAGAAATTTGATGATCTGCGATCTCAATTCCCATGAGCTGGCCAATTTCCTTTACAATTTCCTTCGGCTTATCGTCAGGCAGCATTGGGACGCCGGTAATCTCCACACAGTCGCGACGAATATACTGCTGTATGTCATCTTGCTCATCAATCAAATCATCTATAGACTTCATTTTATCTTCCAAAACTTTCAGACAACTTGATATTTCCATGACATCCCGCTTTGTTATTTGAAGAGAGTCAGTAAAGTTGTCGTACTCTTTCGATAGGAAGGTTTGCGAGGCTTCGATTTCAATACACTTCGCTGTTAGGGCGGAAATTTCATCCTTTATTTTGTCAATCTCAGCTTTAAATTCCCTTTGAATACTTGGCAGAAATTCATCAGCCCAAAGTTCTCTTAATGTGTCTGCTGTTAAATAACTAGATTTAGCAGCTTTAGGAGGCATTATTTACGGAGCATTAAAATGTACGTCCGTCCTGCATGCCTATATAGCCGTCCTGCATGCCTATATAGCCATGCCTATATATGTACGTCCGTCCTGCATGCCTATATCTTACTCTCAGGAACAGATGACAAGGACATATCCCATCAAGGAAGTAAAGTGTTTTTGCAAGAAAATGGACACATTATCAGTGCCTTCGAGTTTCACAAGGAGTGGAGTGACATTGACGTAGAACTTGAAATACGTCAAGCTTTTCAGGAAACACTGCCTGATGACGTTGACATTGAGATTGTCCATTCTGTCCACACAACACTGCTCACGCCTACATTGGCACCGGGTCAACATTTAACTGGTTCTGTAATCAACAGAGTCTTCAGTCACAACAAACCAGTGTATACCAGGCCATGTAGACAAATCCTAAAACAGCCTATGAATACAGAGAAGCGTCAAAGGTATAATTTTCCTGACAAAGTATTTGATGATAATGGTTATGTTGAAATTAGTAATAATCATTTATATTATTGCATTCATTAATAAAATTAATAAAATTAGAATTGCTTCGTATGTGTCGAAGCGTATATATTTTATTCATGTATCGTACGTAATACGTTTATTTTTCATATTAAATAACATGGTTTTTAACAGGTTATGGGCCCAGGTGCCGCTTGAGTGTACGATACGTATGTCTTAATTGACGGGAATCATATAGTGTGTTTACTGAAGCGTAAACGTGCCGTTGAAAGCTGCAAATTAAGCTATTGTTTGCGAAGGAAAATTCAATATGGCGGAAATAAGGGAAATTACACAGATTGAACATTTAAATGGAAAGAACTGCCAATCTTGGAAGTATAACATCAAATTAGTATTGATGGAGCGAGGATTATGGGGTTTTGTAAATGCAACTGAGGAACAGCCAGCTGAAATCGCCACTGGGCAGGTAAAAAGTGCGTATCAACTAAGATCTGACAAAGCATATTCATTGATTGCAATAAGCGTTGATAAGAATCTACAAGTTCACATTAGTAGAACAACAGATCCTTTGGAAGCTTGGGAGACACTTCGAAAGCAATTCGAGTTGGTTTCAATCACTCAAATCGTGAGATTAAACCGCAGATTTTATGCTGCTACTATGAAAGAAGATGGCGATATAATGGAGCATATTACGTACATGACAACACTGGCAGACCAATTGCGAGAAATGAAAGAGGAGATTTCAGATCAGAAATTTGCCACAGTGATTTTAGGAAGCCTTCCTGAATCGTATGAAAACTTTATTTCAAGTTTGAATGCTCAGAAAGTAGAAGATCTTAAATGGGAAAATGTCAAAAGCTTATTGGTTGAAGAGTATATGAAGCGAAAAGAGAAGCAAACAGAGAGTCCAGGTCAGAACGATGCATTATTTTCGAGGAGGAGTAATTATTCATTCCGTGGAAGGAATCATCAGTTTCGTGGTGGCAGACAGTATGGAAACAATACTCGAGACAGTGGTGTATACAATCAGAGGAGACCAAACCAGATGCGAGGAATTAAATGTTTCAAATGTGAGAAATTTGGTCACGTTGTTAAGAACTGTCCTCTTAACAAGAAATCAAATGAGTCAAATATCACTGAAGAAGGCGAGCAAGATAAACACGGAAATGAAGGAATAGCTTTAAGTTCTACATCCACCAATAAAAGGAAAAATTATCAATGGCTCATTGATAGTGGAGCAACTAAACACATGACATTTCAGAGGAATATTATAACTGATTACAAGAAATATGAGGAACCATCGAAGATCTATCTTGGAGATAATAGAATCATCAAAGCATATGGCGAAGGAAAAGTGAAGCTTGAATGTAATGATGGTGCAGACAGTGGCGTAGCTGGCTCAAAATAATCGTCCCGCCGAAGTTTCAATACACCTCTATTTAAACAGGAGTATTTTGCCTTGGTAAAATACAAAAAAATTGTAAGGAGCCCCATAGCCCGATGCGCGTGCAAATCACGCTACACGAGTAATTTGACCTTTATAATCGATTTCCGACATTTCCCGAGTGCTAGGATGTAAACATCGCATTGTTTTGAATATTTGGCCTGGAACCTCCGGTCAAAGCTCTCGCGTAAAATTTAGATATTTTGAAATACCGAAATAAAAAATGCAAATCTGCAATACAAGCTTGAACACAACACTCTAAATAGTGTGTTAGATTGTGATTCGAACAAGACTAATACCAAAAAGAAACGTTGGAAGTGGCCGAAGTTATATAATTTCGGCGAAAGGTATGGCTTAATAATAGTGAACATTGTTTACATCGTTCGAGTATATTATATATAGGTATAGTTTACACTGTCCGAGTATGGATAGTTTATAATTTATGGCTATTTTACATTGTTCAATTACATAGTATCTTTCAAGCGGAATTTTTGGTGGTATTTTCGTATTTCTACTGCAAATACCCGCGGAGTTCTTTAATATATGGAATTGACTTGACAACCTCCGCCTTTATAAAATAGCGGGACTTGGCATTTAAAACAGCCGTTCTGAGCATGCGCTGCACCAATTATCCAATCAGAAACCAGAATTTCTTGTATAGGATAGTATTGCATATTCCGCCATATGAAAATCAGCGAAACACGAGACATGCGATTATACAAGTTGCGTGAGTAAGCAATCAATTGCGTGGAAATTAGCTAATTTTGAGTTTCAGAGGTCAAAGAGCAGACAGCAACATTGCGTAAACTTTAAATAAATAAATGAAAGCACTGAAATATTTATAAATTTTCAGAATAAGAAAAGCTGTGAATTCGGCTTCACTATAAAACATTTCCTCATTTTTTTTTGAAATTTCTAGTCCCGCCCGGCGGGACAACGGGACCGCTAGCTACGCCACTGGGTGCAAACAACATTACTTTAAAATTTACATAAAGTATTATTTGTCCCAGAAATTAAGAAGAATCTACTATCAGTCCTAGCTATGACCCAAATGGAAGCTGAGGTTATATTCGACGATGAAAAATGTTATATAATCAAGAATGGGAAGACAATCAACATTGGACATTTGCTCGATAGTAAGTTATATGTTGTAAACACTCAGCCAGACTATGTTAACATTACAACAATAGAAGTCCCAACACTAAGGCAATGGTATTGTAGATATGGGCACTTAAACTTTGGATACATCAACAAATTGGCACAAGGAAACTTAGTCACTGGTATGAAATATACTAAGGGTGAAACCAACCAAAAATGTGAAGCATGCACAAGAGCAAAGATGCATCGAATACCTGTCCCAAAACAAAGCTCGAATAGAACGACTCAACCGCTGGAATTAATTCACAGTGATGTATGCGGACCAATGAACACTGATTCCATTGGTGGAAGTAAGTACATTTTAACATTTACTGACGATTACACTAGATACTAGATATGTAACAGTGTATTTTCTGAAAAATAAGTCAGAAGTTTATGAGAAATTCCAAGAATATGTTAGCATGGTTGAAAACTTTACTGGGTTGAAAGTAAAAACATTGCGAACAGACAATGGTGGAGAATATGTTTCTAATGATTTCTCCAAATATTGTGTAAATAAAGGAATTGTTTATCAGTACAGTAATCCTTACACTCCAGAGCAAAATGGTGTTTCAGAAAGATTAAATCGAACACTCATGGAATCTGCCAAGTCCATGATATTTCATACGAACATTCCAATCAACTTTTGGGCAGAAGCTGTCAACACAGCTGTGTACTTACACAATAGAAGTCCCACTGCATCCCTAAAAATGAAAACACCTTATGAACTCTGGTTCAGTAAAAAGCCAGATGTGTCAAACCTGAAAGTATTTAGATCAGTTTGTTTCATCCATACACCCAGCAATCTACGACGAAAGCTTGACCCTAGATCGCGAAAAGCTGTATTTATTGGGTATCCACTCGACACGAAGGGTTATAAACTATATGATATAGAATTTAAAAATTAAACGAGACTTACCTGTAAGTTGAAGTTTGATTGTAATTCTATGAGTTATCAGTGAGGAACTAGGAAGTCACATGAGATATGCATGCGCAGATCGAGTATTCAGCCTTTGAAGCAGTAGTGATTGCACCCAACAAGGGTGGGCTTGCCATCTCTAGTTTGGCCACATAGTGTGTTGGGTGGGTGACTCCCTAGTTCCTCACTGATAACTCATATAATTACAATCAAACTTCAACTTACAGGTAAGTCTCGTTTAATTTTTAAATCCTATTTCGTCATCAGTTACGTCACTAGGGAGTCACATGAGACTTCAAAGCCGTGCAATCACTGCAAATTCTGGAGCAAAGATTTATTGTATAACAGTACAAAACCAATGTGTACGTAGTAACAACTAGAAATTTGTGCGGTATATGCCACAGTCTAACAGTATGTTAGTTTAAACATTAACATAAACATAAACATAAACAGAGTTTAATAAAGTTTCACCAAAATTGGTGTCCTGGTCAGTGATGGGCTTTTTGTAGAACTTTGCCTTTTGGTGAGCCACAAGGAGCTGGTTTGTGTTTTCCCTGATTCCCTTTGTGCGTTGTATATATTCCAACAGGTGATGTGGGACACATAATTGTTTGTCCAGAGGAAAAGCCTTTTAAAGCAGTTTTAGTGGTTTGGAACCAGGTTTGGTGGTTTACAGTAGTTTGTTAATGGGAAAAACACTCTCATCATCACCAAGTTTCATGCTGTCAATACTTAATGATTGCAGAGTCTGGCATCGCTGCCCAGACAAAAGTGCCATTAGCATAACAAGCTTTAGAGTTAAGTCTTTCAGTAACAGTTCTTTGGCAATTTTAGACTGTTTAAGGTGGTTTAATTAAGACAATGCTCATGTCCCATATATTTTGTCGGGTTGGTTGGGGAGGAATAATAGTTCCTTGCTTTTTGGTAAGACAATTGGCTGTTGGACAATCATGTTCATTGCTTTCGGCCACCATACAATATCTGTGTTGGCCAATATGGGATCACTAGGATCTCTGAGGCTTGATCTTCTTGGACTTTCTGTAGTACTTGCATTATCACACTAAATGGTGGTAAAGCATAGAGAGCAAATTGAGTCCATGTCATGTGAAAGGCATTAATGGCAATTGCTTCAGGGTCTGGTCTAAATGCTACGATGGTTGATTCTGGAAACAAATAGATCAATGCCAGGGGTAAATCTGAGCATGTTACATGCCAAGGTAAG